TCCTTATCAATGGAATTTCTTGCTTGCCAAATGTGTGTGCTGTTAAAGTAAATTGTTGAGCTACTGTATGAACTCTTAGCTCAGTGCGCGAAGCATACTATCTCTTTTCTGCTTTATAGAGAGAGGGAAAGCTCACCAAAGGGAGAACAACTCCCTATGGGCAGTAATACCACAATACCGACGGCTGGAGTCATAGCGCTCATTGTAAGATGAAGTAACAGAATCAAAAGGATGACCAGAAAAGGAGTTCGGGAGCAGTCGTCCCTTTCAGCTACTTCCTTCGCGACAATACAGGGGGGCCAAAAAAAAGTCATTTTGCCTCCATGACTTTCAAGGCGCTATAAGTTACACTTTATTAAATTTTTATCGGACATTTTTACTACCATATTAAAGAGCACATTAAGTACTATAACGATACTCCACCACAGCCTTCTGGAGGAGCGCCATCGAGAGATTCGGCCGCGCAAAGTGAGTGGGTACCGGAGTTGAGCGAGATCGTTGATTTCTCCGCCACTGTAGACCACCCTGTTGAGCCCCGCCCGAACCGAGTAATTGAGGGGGTTTAGTTCAGGACCCCCGCTTAAACACTCCACTTTTCCAGGTACTGAACGTTCTTCATTCGCAAAGTACTGCGAAAAGTTTTTTTCCAACGCCCTTCGATTAATGTGTTGTCACCCAATCCTGTAGCAGTACAAAGTTTCCAAGAAGGTACGGGCGACGACATGAAGATGGGATATTCTCCTCGAGTTGCTCGATGTAGCCACCAGCGCACACCCTCCTGGGGCCCACGAAGAAAATATCGGTTCATCCATTCCAGGTACGGCCGGTCCACACCATCAACCCGCGCCTTGGTGAATGGGGTGAAGATGATGTCCTGGACCGTAGCGACGTTGCCGGAGCGATGTTTGAGGTCTTGCAGATCAAGAGTACTGGTCTCCAGGTAGCTATCCATGGGTGATTCCATTCAAGAAGTTCCGCAGCTGTTTGGAGGCCACGTGAATTCCAAAGGCGTTCTTCACTCAGGCCGCGACTGGAGATGACTTCATATTTTGGTGTACATGAAGGTGAATGGCGGCAGCCGGCTCCTGCTTATAGAGGAAGTCTTGGGTATCTCCGCCCTGGTACTCATATCCACTTCCTCTGTCTGGGCTGCGCCCGGGGAAACTTCGGCTCATAATGTGAGCGGTCGGCGGAAGTGACATCTTTTTTTTTTGCGCCCCCCCCCTGTTAGTAATCTCCTGTGGGAAAACTATAATGCGCTCCAAAGTACAAACTATGCGAAAAAAAACTAGTGGCCATCAAACTTCGAGCTCAAGAAAGCGGTGCAAAAGCTATGAAAGCTGCTCGACGCTTGTTCGTTCTACATTATGGAAATGAGCAAAAACATCCAGCCCATATGTTGTAGCTTTTAGAGACCAGAGGGCAGTGAGATGTTGGTTAATGAGCACGTTTTTAGATTTCAAAAGGGGGAAAAGGGTGTAAACAAGCCGAACAAAAACAGTTAGCAGCTTCGTGGTATAAGCAAAGGAGTTCAGAGCGCTACCTCCTAGTCGCGGCATTGAGAGACGCATAAGAGAAGAGAAAGAAAGAAAGAAAGAAAGAAAGAAAGAAAGAAAGAAAGAAAGAAAGAAAGAAAGAAAGAAAGAAAGAAAGAAAGAAAGAAAGAAAGAAAGAAAGAAAGAAAGAAAGAAGAAAGAAAGAAAGAAAGAAAGAAAGAAAGAAAGAAAGAAAGAAAGAAAGAAAGAAAGAAAGAAAGAAAGAAAGAAAGAAAGAAAGAAAGAGAAAAACGCGGCCAAAACACGGCCACGCTGAATGGATGGGTCCTGATGCGAAAGCAGTGTACATCACCCAGTATGCTGCGCCTATTTTGTCGCAGTCGCCGCGACAGGCCGCCCAACATATACAGTGATATTTCAGTTTTTCAGTTTTTATTAGGCCTTACCGGCTCCCGGCTGAGCTCTGTCACTCATGAAATGGAAGAGGCAGTGCTGTGAAAAGAACGAGCGTTTTGTTCCTGAAGTATTCAATGTATTTCCTTGGGGATTCGGGCGAACGGAGGGAGTTTTGCACCTTTGCTACTTCCCATCGACGGCCCATCGAGAGCCATACTTGGCAGGCTCTACCATGGTGGTTAGTCGAGCTCGCTTTAGATGCACAAGAGTTCGTAGGTTTCACCTAGAGTGCGACTTGTAAATCGGGAATAGTGTAGCAGCAAAAGTGCAAAATGCCATCCCCCTCGCCGAACTGTGCCTATTTCCTTTCCTGCTGGGATATGCGAAAACCCATGGCATTGAAACTCACCAATTGTGATGACACTCCCCAGTTCAGGCTGTATGTCAATGTCAGAGATGGCGGTTGTGTTATCCACCAGTAACATCTGAAGACGTGTTCGTTCTTCCTGAAAAAAATTTAACCGTTGCAATTATTCAGCCTCAGCCGATAGCCTTCCCGTGCCAAGGACCGACCTGATAGAATTAGCAAGGTGTGCATTCTCAAATGCAGCTCAAGTGTTGCCGATTCGGCAATACAGGCGAGTCAATCTGCATCGATTCATCGCCTTCTTTATATGAGAATCTTATCCTGTAACAATCATTATTGGAGTCGAGTGCCTTTGAGAACAATTCCCGCGATCAAGTTTTACGGAAGGTGGGTGCTCAATCATGAACTGTTATAGTAGTGTCGCATTGAAGTACCTCCTCAGTAGAGAAAGAAGCGATAGAAAAACCTTGGGAGCACTGTTGAGAGGCCCCCGGCAGTAGACGCTTTGGACGAGTAAGTCGGACGTCGGCAAGCCCAATCATCACGATACGACGGTAACAGATCGCCGGCAAGAGCACAGGAAATCATCCTACGACGCTCCAGGCAACGCTATGTGCACACGCAGTTCCGCTTGTAAGCCGTTGTCTTGCAGAGTGAAAGTAATCGTGGTTGCAATGGTTTCCAATAATCATGCTCTTTATCTCGCCGTTTCGAGGGATGAGGGATGGCATATTCTTTGCGAATGCGGACACCGCATGGCGAATGCGATGGCCGTTTCCCGGTAGGCACTTGATCGGCGGGAATCGTCCGTTTAAAAGTGTGACAAGGTTTGTTTGCCCTCATGAGAAATAGGCCCCAAAAGGGAAATCGGGACCAACCTAGCGTTGACTAATTCAATGACGAGCGAGGTGTCCTTGTCGGCAGAAATACGAGGCAAACAATAAGGCATTACCAATGAGAGTTTGAAATTTGAAAGACACTCGTAATGAACCCGTAAGTGATGAGGCCTAAATGTGAAATCGATTTAGGTCTCTCCACTGCTAGTTTCAGGAACGCTGCATTTTCCAGTTTACTAATGATACAAAAGCGAACTCACTACTCTATGTGACAGTACAGCATAACCAGTTGTGTTCACGAATGACGCTGATGAGGGTCGAGGTTTGCTGAAGACAGCAACGTGAATGAAGCTCATTTCGAATTATCAAAAAATATGGACATCTGCTCAAAGATGGTGTAATACTGGTAATGGGGTCGACCCTACAGTCACGCCTTTTGAAATAAAATGTGTTAGGAATTTTGCTATACCTTATAGTTCTGGGAGATCATTTAAATTCTCATTTCCTGGCCTATAAATTATACCATTTTCACTTAAATTCACCACTTTTCAAACCAAATTCACCACTTTTCAAACCAAATTCACCACTTTTCAAACCAAATTCACCACTCTTTTTAGACCGGGCAGTTCACCAGATCACGCCAGACACCACTGCGAGCCCGCCCCGACGGTCACGCCTACTTGTCAGCGCGGACATAGATTTTCAACACATCGACACATGGCCGACTCCGCCCATTCTTCAAAGGGTTTGTTGCGAACTTCGAAATTTCATAACTTTTTCAACTTTTTAATTTCACATCCACTCTGCACAACGAAGATACTCGTACCCGCGCATTTATGCACTGGAAATTTAGGCTACAAAATACAAACTTTGCTTGATTTAGTTGTTCCGAGTGACGGACGAGACCCTAGCATGCAAGCCAAGCTCTATACTGCCGATTTGCACCATTTTTGAAAAGTGGGCGGGGCTTCTTTGAAGTGGGCGGAGCCTCTCACAGTGGGCGGGGCTTCACGTAGCAGTCCAAAAATGCAAAAATTTTGAAAAATATCAAAATTCCGCAAAAAGCAAGTGGGCGTGGCCAAGGGGCGGAGCCTAAATTGCCAGTGCATAAATGCGCGGTACGAGTATCTTCGTTGTGCAAAGAGTGGAATTAA